AAATCATGAACATGTATTATTAATTTTTTGGGGGGTGGAACCAGGGATTGAACTCAGACCCTTGTGCTTGCCAGGGAAGCACTTACTTCACTAAGCCATCTCACCAGCCCAAAAATTAATTTTGAAAAGTAACTTAAAATGATAAGGTCTTTGGATTCTAACTACACCCTTCAGTTTGTTTACAGCAGACAAACTATTCAGGCAAAAACCACAGATGGCGGTAGTGGTATTTTTTTTTTTAACTGATTTTTTATTTTAAGTTGGTATCAATTCTATGGTCACTGTTGATAAGTCAGCTGGCAAGTGTAATATTTCCAAAATGAATTCTCTGGACAGTGCATGATTAAACATCTGAATATTTGATTTTTTTTTTAAGATGATTTTTTTTTTAACATTTATTTATTTATTGTGTGTGTATGGCCAGCTCAGCCTACCAGGGGGCGGGGCTGGCTGGCATGTGGTGCTGGGGGATCGAACCGTGGACCCTGTGCTTTGCTAAGCTTGTTCCAAGTAGGTGCTTTAGACCACTGAGCCATCTCGCCAGCCCCTGAATATTTGATTTTGAATATATACTCTGTGAGTGGTTTGAACCACAGTAGTCACTTTACTCACCTTGCCAAAGTGGGATATTATAAAAAAAAGTTTGGGGACCAGGGAGATAGCTCAGTAGAATAAACCCTTGTCTGGCAAGCACAAGGGCCTGAATTCAATCACAGGTTCCTCTAAAAAAAGAAAAAAAAAAAATGTTTGGTAGTAGTGCTGTTACCAGTTCATTTAAAAGGTATGTGCGTGAATAATTATTTGCATTGGAAACTGCTTATAATTGCTTAAATGTATATCAAGGCCACTCTATTTTATTTTTAGATATTTTTCCCCTCTTAAAATTGGAGATTGAACTCAGGCCTTTGCTCTTGCCAGGGAAGCAGTTACTCCTGTGAGCCATCTCCCTGGCCCCAAGGCCACTTTTGATAAATAAGTACACAGCTAAATTCCAAGTGTAGAAGAGGTAGATAGCTGCCCCAGTTTTTATTTCAGACTCTTTAATACAATCATGAATTTTTAGATCTATCTATAAAGGCAATTTTTTTTTTTTTTTAATTTTCATTTATTTATTTGTGTGTGTGGCCAGCTCAGCCCACCAGGGGGCGGGGCTGGCTGGCATGTGGTGCTGGGAGTTTGAACCGCGGTCCCTGTGCTTTGCTAAGCTTATTCTAAGTAGGTGCTTTAGACCACTGAGCCATCTCACCAGCCCTATAAAGGCAATTTTGAGATCTTATAATTGGGTTCTATCTTTATTCCTGTGTTTTTTTTTTTTGTGGAGCCGGGGATTGAACTCAGGTCCTTGCACTTGCCAGGGAAGTGCTTATTCCACTGAGCCATCTCCCGGGCCCTTACGGTGCCAAAATTTCTTTTTTTTTCCCTACTTCTAAAACATTAAGGTGATTAATTCACCTTCCTGTGTTATTTTGCTTATGTCATTTCCCTAGATAATCCCATAGTTTGGACTTAGAAAACATTTCTGTAACAAGTCTACATTAAAAC